AACTGGTTAGATGCAGCGCACAGATAATTGGAGATCTAGAAGATTCTGAAGAATGTATCCAGAATGAAATATACTGAATAACATGGTATGGAATAAATGAAAGCAAAACTAAGAGATTTAAAGCATGGTATGTAAAGAAGGAAGATATGGTATTGGAGTCCCTGCAGAGAAAATGGAAGAGAGACAATATTTGAAGAGATTTGACTATAAAATAGCCTATAGAACTAAATAAAAATGAAAATTCAAAGACTCAGAAGCAAAATCCTTCCAAAAGAGGGTAAGTAAAAAGAAACACTTATGTACATGCAAAAAGTTCAGTACTCCAAAGGCAAGGAGACAATCTTAAGTCTTTTATATTAAGATCTCTTTAAAGAATAATAGTTAAAAGGGCAAAAGACTTCTTGACTGCAACAATGGATGCCTGAAGACAGTGGAATAATATTTTTAAACTGTCACCTAAAGATACGGTCAACCTAGAAGTTGTGTTTACAGCAAAATTATTTTTCAATCATGAGAGTAAATTAAAACTTTACAGATTAACAGAAATGAGAGTTTATCTGCAGAAGAGCTGCTTTGGCACAACTTCCAAATCAGGGCTTCATATCTTTTAGAATGATAAGCTAGTGGAGCCTATAGGCTCTGTGTCAGAATAAGGTTTTTTAAAGTATGAAATAAAATTGCATAGGGTTACAAAGGCAACCAATTTGAAACTTTTAAAAATAAAAATATTTTGATCTGTATTATACTAGTATGTATCCCACTTTGTAACTCACATAATAACAAAATCCAGTGATAGTTCTATTAACTACTCTAATTTCAGAATAAACAGTGCTGTGAGAGAAGGTGTCATCTTACAGGGCAGGACAGGCACAAATGAATAACTTCAAATGTATTTATCTGTATCAAAGCAAGAGGCATGCAGTACAGCACACTGTGGTATATATCATCTTTGACTTTCTTTTGATTCATGAGTTATTTAGAATATAATTAAATATTTTCACATTAATGTATTTTTTTTCATGGCGCTATCTTTACTATTCATCTATATGTCTGCTACTTCTTGAGAAGTAGCATTCAGCTATAGACAGATCTTTTCCTATCACAGGGAAAGTAGGTTAAGAAAGGTGGCTTTCTTCCGGGATGTTATGAATTTGAGGTATTGATTCAGCCCTGTAAGAGGACAGTGTGTGGCCAGCATTGGGACCACATGCTGAAACTGAAAGTTTGGGTGGGGTATTATGAGGAGGGTCTTGTTCCAATGGGAAGAGGCAGAGCCATAGGTAGAGTAGGTGTGGTGAAGAATCTGTTCCCTAGAGGAGGTGACAGAAGGCTGAAGGACTGCCCACCTGAATGAGCCTGATTATGTAGCTTCAGTGAAACCCAAAGGCACAAATAAAGAAAACATGTGAGTAGAGTAAAAAGGGGGTCACTGCTCAATGAGGCTCAAGGAAAAATTTTATGCACACCATAGAGCAGCAATGCAAAATGCGTTGGGAGGTAGGTTTCAGTGGACTTGCTTCAACCTGGACGGCTCAGAATATTATTCACTCCATTGTTTCAACAATGATTCTTTCCTCAGAGAGGTAGTAAACACTGGTTGTTAGTGGTAAATTGGTATCCCAGTAGCTTTAGGCACACCTGCTAGATGTTTTGGGAAAGTAATTTAATTGACATTTCAGCCTGCATTCTAGAAGGACTTGCTTCACTCTCTAAAATTTTGCCTTATCATTTGCCTTTCAACCAGATTTGATGATCTGAAGAAAATTCTTGATATTAGGCAGTGAAACAACTTTTAGTGTTAGAGAACAAGACAGAAAGAGCTAATTTATTCCAGCTGTCTGTGTGCAGGCAGCAGCACTCATCAAATGGGAACGGTCATTGGCTCTATGATGCCATTGCTGCCTGGTAGTCTATTATCCCTTTCCATCACCCTCAAAAGCAAGAAGTTCTTGCTCATTTCTAATTTTATCTCTTCCTCTACTAGGCTGGATGGGAAAAGTGGAGAAAAGAGTGACTTGGTGTTCTCTCTGAGAGCAACATCATGCTTGATCACTCTCTTTGGCCTATTTTCCTTTATGATACCCTTCTCCAACTCTCTTCAGTTTCCCCATATTTTTTTGGAAATCATAGACTTTGAATAATGAAACTGGTAAATTAAGTGGGACAAATGTTTCACCATGGCAATTTCACAGCTAATTAAATTCCTAACCCTTTTCTTCACAGGAGTGTTACAAAATAAACCTTCATATCAGAACGTGCAACCTACTCCTCCCTTGTAATGGGAATTGAGCAAAGATAGCTCAAACTAAGACCTAACAGTTCCAGGGCAGTGGCTCTGAACTTCTTTTCTAGCCTGGCTCTATTGGATATGCTACATTCTCCTGGGTCTCAAGTGGACCAGAGCAGGTGTCCTGAAAGAGGAAGCATTCTGGCACATGGACTCTAAAAAGCCTCCTACAAGATGTTGATGTGGCCCTCTCTACTTAGATTTGATGCTAGTGTTTTTGTATTGAAGGGGTCTGTTCCTTCTGGTGAAGTATTAAGAGAAAGTGGCTATTGGAGAACAATAATCCAGAGTCTAACTCAGGAAATATCAGTGTATGCTGTGGTTTCCAAACTTAAATATCCCCCATAAATCATGCACTGAGGGATTGTTCCCTGGGTTGGCACTATTGGTAGGAGGTGGAGCCTTTGAGAGATGCGGCCTAGTCTGAGGAAGTTAGATCACTGGGGGCGTGCCCTTGAAGGGGAATGTGAGATCTCAGCCCCTTCTTCCCTGTGTTGCTTCTTGGCCATGAGGTGAGAAGCTTTGCTCCACCACACATATGCACCATGATGTGCTACCCCAGAGCCATGGGGCCAACTAACCATTGACTAGAACCTCCAAAACCAGAAGCCCAAATAAATCTTTCTGCCCCCCCCCCCCCACTTCAGTTCAGAGGATCAAATCCAGGACTTTGCACATGCTAGGCAAGTCATCTACCATTGAGCTACATCCTCAGCCTCTAGTAAACCATTCTGAAATGTGTTACCTGAGATGATGGGGCAAGAGTTTTAGGAAGACATCTGTTTGAGAAATAACTGTGTAATGTGATTATAAAGTGACTTGGGGGCTGTGGTGTATCTTCTGAGGGTGATGAAGCTGGCCTCAGAGAGGCTGTCTTGAATGTTCAAGCATTGGATCCAGAAGTCAAGAGAGAGATTCTAGAGGCATTTGGAAGAAGAATTAGTGAAACTCAGCTGCAGAGAAATGTGAGGGGATTTCAGAGAAGGGTTTCCCTAGCATTGTACTATAAGGAAGGGAGGCTACATCCTAGAGAGAGACTTGTAAAATGAAGAACTGATGTAAATAATTGTCAATGTTGACTGTGTTTGGAGGATTTGTGCACATTGAGCAAAGCCTATTGGGTTTAAGGCCTGGTCCTATCCACTGCAAAGACGGGGTAACCTATAGTCTGTGATCAAAGGGACCTGTGGATCTGGGAGTAACATGATCCATCCAGGTCTGATTTATCCTTTTGGAATCCAAGAGAAAATGTAGTTAAGGCCTTTTAACCATGTCCTAGACCATCTGGCCCCTGCCCTAGGTGGCAAGTATGAGCAATTCATCTCCGCGGGAGACCTCATAACTATATAACTTACTTATTGTTTGACCTCCTAATATTGCCTAATTGATATGAGTAAGCCACAGCCTCCTTCCCCTCCCTGGATCTGGTTGGATATGGAGGGAGAGGGAACAGTCTCAGGATATGGATTTGAGTGACCAGGAGGGAGGGGTGCTGTTGTAGAATGTTGAGACTATAAAAGTACCACTGGGTCTGGGAGGTGGGGACTTCAGGTGCATTTCTGAACATGTTAAGAGTGAGAGAAACAGGGACCAGAAACAGAAACCATGGACAGTGTGGTGCTCACAGTGGTCAGGGCAGAGCTCTGGGCTCTAGGACAGAGCAGCAGATGGCATTCCAGGAGCCTTACAGTAGCTAGGTCCCCACTCCCCGCCAGCATTGGGGAGAATAAACAAAAGACTCACAGGAGGAAGATCTTGGGAATCTGGGAGAGGGAAGCTGAGGAGAAGAGCAGCTAAAGGAGTGTGAAGAACAGGTGAGTGGGAACTATAGGAGCCTGGAGGAGAGGGGGCTCCACACTGGAAGACACTGCTAGCTCTGCTACAGCTGAGGTCAAACTGTACTTTGTCTGATGCACTCAGTGACCTCTCAGGTAATCCTGAGAAGAAGAGTTTCTGCTAAGCTGTGGAGACCAAAACCAGATGTTAGTGCATGGAAGTTACTATCTCTCCATGGTCCACTGGGCATTCCTGGGCACAAGGAGACCAGGAATATGGGGATCAGAGCCAATGTCTGCCTCAGGGAGAGCGAGCTTGGGAGATAGTAGAATTGGACCTGGTCAAGGGCTGAACTGTGGTTCCTTTAAAGAATAGAGGACACGGCATATCCCGGTGATAAGGACAACAGAGAAGACTGCTCACCAGGACCTGGGACAAGGATAGGGGTAGGTCTCGGCCTGGGAAGGGAGTGGCTGCTCAGAGTTAGGGTAGAGCCTAATAGGACACTGCTTATTGCTGAGGTGGGAGGCTGTGCTGTGAATGAAAGGTCCTGGAGTCTGTGGGACCAGGGCAGCCACAGCATGCAGCAGGATGGCAGGGGAGTGGTAGTGTTTTCACTTCTCTCTGTGATTTAAAGGTCACACAAATAGCTTTAGAGGACCAAGGTGGTCTAAGCAGCCTGGTAGAGGGTCATTCAGGAAGCCCATCACTCTTGGGCCACCCAGTATAGTGCATGCTGCAGCCTACTCTGTGGCACCCTGGTGGCCTGCAGGCCAGATGTGCCTGCAGGCTGTGAACATCTGGAAGGAAAACAGAGCTCATTGCTCAGTGAAAACTCTGCTCCTGTGATGTGCGAGATTCCACACACCCTCTGCTGTTGAGGTTGGTTTGACTGGTTTCTGAACGTCTCACATGGATGCACCATCTCTCCTTCCAGGTGCTGCTGTCGGGACTCATTGGTGTCGTCTCCTGGAAGAGGCCTCTCTCTCTTGTGGTAAGTGGCACCTGGGTCTCCAGGCGACCTGCATAGTAGTGAGCATGGCACAGGCAAAGGCAAAGAGAATTCCAGTTTCTTGGCTTGGAATAAGATGCTGATGTTTATTTAAAAAAAGTAACTGCTGCATGTGAAGGGCTGATCAGTGAGAACCACTGTGCATTTTACACATTGCACTTCTGAGAGTTTTCCTTGAAGATTTTCCTAAGATGCCCACATCACATCCTTTCCCTGTTTGTTTTCTTTCGGTGCCCTTCCTTAAGGACATACCTTGAACAAAGACATTTTGAAAGTGTGGATGTAAGCATTTTCTCTAAACCCAAAGACCTGCTCATGCGTATACATAAGCTTACATAGGATCACACAAACAGCACACACTTTATCAGAGTTCAAGAAATGTTAGCTTTTTAGTGTGCTTGGGAGATATGAAATTCTGAGAGTAAAATAATGATACTTGAATAGAAGAATTGCTGGGGCATGATGCTAAGGAGTGGACCACATGGGAGATGGAGAGAGGAGGATTTTTTCCCCCCTCTGAAAAGTACCCCAAGCAGATTTGTGTCTATTGATCGTATGCCTGTTTTTTTCAGTGTATGCATTAATATATTGACGTGTCTATGTCAGAACTAGAGGCTGGGATTTTCTGGTTTTGATGGGTAATGAAAAAGACAGCCTGACAGCTTTCTTCTTTTGTATTAATCAATTATTTAGAACCTAGTTTTTAAGGGATTGGATTTGGAGATAATGATGTCCTAAATATTAATGGACATAGGAAAAAAAATAAAACAAATTTATTTGTGGAAGACGTCTCCTTTTCCATCTGAGTAACCATGACACCCTGGAAAGGTATCAGGGAATAGATGGATGATGTGGAATTCAGTTGAACTTCCTCTTCCACTATAGCTCAGCTCATATGCGAAATTTGCTAGTAAAACTTGCTTTTTAGCCAGGGAAGGAGGTGCACACCTGTAATTCTAACTATGGGAGAGTCTGAGGCAAGAGGATCCCAAGTTCAAGCCCAGTCTGGATAATTTAGAAAGACCTTGTCTCAAAATAAAATTTAAAATAAGGACTGGGGATATAACTCAGTGGTTGAGTGCTTGTCTGGCATGTAAGGGGCCCTGGGTCCCATTCCCAGTACTAGAAAAAATGTTCTTTATATGGAAGTTTCCAAACAGGCACAAAATAGCCTGGTGTAATGAACCCTGTATACTTTTCATCTAGAGTCAATAAATTTGAATACCTGTCCTGTTTTATTCACCCATGTTCTCTCACTCTCCTGCCCTTACTATTGATTTTTTTCTGGCTGGATTATTTTAAAGAAGTCTCAGCTTGTGGGTCAAGAAGCCCATTCTTGGGCTGGAGTTGTGGGCTCAGTTGTAGAGTGATTTCCTAGCACATGTGAAACACTGGGTTCAGTCCCTAGCACTACAGGAAAATAAATAAATAAAATAAAGTTATTTTTTAAAAAAGAAGCTCACTCTTGGTGCAGAATGGTATGGCACTGAATCTACTGAAGACTGTGGTGACATCTTTGCTTGTGCTCTGTGGTAACTTCTGTGCTGCTTTCAGTGACACAGACATAGCCTGCTCTATTCCTCTCTGCATGCCCCTATGATGCAGAGATTAAGTTGTCCAAAAGCAATCACTTAACAAAGATAAACCATATTCCTAAGGGGAGGGGTGTGTGGAGAGAAACACAAGGGTAGAATCACATTCAACACTCAGCTATCCCCAGCCCTGGCCCTAGGATGCTTACTGGGCTGGGCATTTTATGATACAGATTGCATAGTTTATAACTGATGGGGAATTAGGACTCATATGGACATGGCTCAAGTCAGAGGAGTAGTGTCTTTGGACCTCAATCTAGTAAGAGGGACATTGTAGCAGCTGGACCTACTAGAGCAGAGGGTTCCAAGTACTTGCTCCTCAGTCCTGGTGATCAGTTCAGGAACAGCTACTCTCTGGAAAGTGCTCATATTCACCTCCCATTGAATTATTTTCTTCCGTATTCCAGGCAGAGGAGAAATGCTTTCATTTAACTTGACTTTTTTGCCCTATTTAGGGAGGTAAGGTAACGCTAGCAGCTGCAACACATATTCAGTGGCTTAACACATCACAAGTTAGCTTCTGCTGCTGTCCAGGGTGGGTACTGTGGTAAGTTGTTGCTTCCTCCATAGACGGCTGCAGAGACCCTGGTTTCTTCTATCTGGGGGGCCCTCTCCTCTAGGCCCATGGAGTCCTCTGCAATACAGTGAGAGGTCATGAGAAATGAGGATGGAACTCCTACTGCTTAATTTCCTTGGACTCAAAGTGATGCTCGCTCGTTGCTCCTATGTCAAACCATCAGGACAACTTGTCATGTTACAAAGCTACAAAGGAGACTGGGAAAGCCATGCCTTTCTGGACAGGCAGGTCCCAGAGGCAGCCTCACACTGTAGAGGAGAGGGTATGAATTTTGGTGGGAAGTTTGCTGTCTCTTCTTCTGTCTCTATTAGTCAGGACGGTGCAATCTTTTGAGTCATTACCAAAAACCCACTTCTGAACTCAACCATTGAAATAGCTTTGGCCTTAACTTTTTTTTTTTCCTAAGAGGAGTAAGAGCATTCACAATAGATAGGAGGTAAATTCACAGTATAGTTATCCCTTGGTATATGAAGGGAATTAGTTCCAGGATCTTCATGGACACACAATCCAAAAAAGCTCATGTCCCTTATATAAAATGGCATACTGTTTGCATAGAAGCTATGTGTATCCTCTTGTATGCTTTAAATAATCTATAAATGACTTACAATTTCTAATATAATGCAAATACTAGATGCTATTAAATTGTTTTGTTGTTTTTTTTTTTTTTTTGATCCACAATTAGTCAAATCTGTGGATGCAGAACCAATGGATACAGAGGGCTAACTGTACACAGATGTGTTAGTTAGAATTCTCCAGAAAGCATAAGCAATAGGATGTATCTATTTACTGCCTGACTGTCCATCTATTGGGATTTGTCTACCTGTCCATCTATTAAGATATGTTTTAAGAATTAACCTCATGAGACTGTAGAGGTGAGCAAGTTCAAATCTTCAGGGCAGGCTGGAACCCCAGAGAAGCATTGATGCTGCAGCTGAAGGCAGAATTCCCCATCTTTGGAAGAGGTCAGTCTTTTTTCTCTTAAAACTTTCAACTGATTGGATAAAGCCCATGAATGCCAAAGAAGATAATCTGCTTTGTTCGATGTCTGTTGCCTTAAATGTAATCTCATTTTTTTTTAAATACCTTGACAGCAATACCTAAACTGGTGTTTGACCAACTATCTGGGGATTGCAGCCTAGCCAAGTTGACATGAAAGTGAGCATCACAACAGGGTTCTATTACCTGACCAAAAATGCTCTATCCAGAATAGTAACAATGAAAACACTGTAAATAATGATACTAGTCATTCATTGAGAGTGAACTGTGTGCCCTTATTTTCTCAGCAGTCTGGCAAGAATTGGTTTTCCTATTTTGGGAAGAGATGAGGAGACCTCAGGTCTTGAAGCAATGGACCAGGACTTGAGCTCAGAGCTCTCTGACTCTAAAAATCCACCACCTTTTTGTTCCAACCTACCAAAGTCCATATAGATGTCCCTTTTCTTCCCCACAGCTTGTCTCTAATTATATATCAATGATTTGTACTCACATTATCTTGTCCCTTAGTTTTTTTCTGTCTCAATGGGTGGCAGTGCCACCCACCCAACTTAAAAGCTGGACTCATTATCATGCCTTTTTATTCCTCCCCTTTCATGTTCTTTTACAAGCTCTCCCATTTATTGCTACCTTTATATTTATACAATTGGCCATCTTTTCTTTATTCCTTAAGTAACGTGTTCTAGGGCAGACTCACCTTCTCTTATAGGATGTTGAAGTAGCCTTTTGAAGATCTTTGTGCCAAGAGTTTGGTTCTTTTTAAAGATATATTTTTTGCATACCCATACCCAGAGTGACATCTATCTTAGCCTGTTTTCTGTTTCTGTAATGAAATATCTGAGCCTGGATACCTTATAAAGAAAAGAGACTTATGCTTTGGATATGAGGTGTGCCCCAGAAGCTCTTGAGTTAATGCAGGAGGTGAAATTACTAGGTTATGAGAGCTATAATCTAATCAATCTATCCTAGTTTGAATGGATTTGGATTGACTGTGTAACTGTAGGCAGGTAGGGTGTGCCTGAATGAGGTAGGTCACTGGTGGTATGCCCCAGAAAGGTTCATCTTCCCTACAGTCTCTTCCCCTTTCTATTTCTGCTTCCTGGCTGCCATGAATGGGGTAGTGCTCCTCTCTTATGCCATTGCGCCATGATGTTCTGCCTTACTCTGGCCTGCAGGAATGGAGTTGGCTGACCATGGACTGAACCTCTGAAACCATGAGCCAAATAATGTTTTCCTTCTCTAAGTTGTTCTTGTCAGTTATCTTGCTCACAACAGTGAAAAGCTAACATGCTCACATTTTTAGAGACTCCAAGTACAAGACTGGTGGTCTCATCTATTCATCCTTGGTGGGCCTTATGGTAGATGGCATCTTGGCAAGAGTACATGCAGAAGAGATAAGATAGTGAGACAGGAAGTCAGAGACCAGGGCACGTCCAGTCTTGCTGTTTTTATAACAACCCATTCTCATAGGAACTAGCTCACTTCATGAAACTACACTAGTCCCTTCGAAGGGCCTTCCCCCAATGACCTAATTATCTTCCTCTAGACCCATCTCTTAAAGGTCCCATTACCTCCCACATCTCCACACTGAGGACCATGTGTCCAACATGTGAACCCTTAGGGAACATACTCAACCCAACCCGTATCCAAACCATAGCACTATCTAAAGGGTCAGTTGTACTGTGGGCTCTTCAGTTATTCCCTAGGGCCTAGGGATTAGAACTGGGGATTTTTGGACAATGTTTGATGACTTGTTGTATGAGAAAAGGAATTAATTAGAAAGTTAAGTGCCTGACCCAGGGTCCTACAGTTAGAATGTT